GGCGCGTACAGTTTCGTAACTGTTCCCGCCAAAACCATCCTGCCTGCAGCTGCCCGATGCCGTCTGCTTCCGACGGTCCAGATGCGTTCCAACTGTCCGTCGCTTCGAGTCAATTCCAACCGTCTGACGGTTCGCGTTCATTCTCGTTACTGCGTGCTTCTCTTTGCTGCGGTGAGGAGTGCACGGTAGTATCAAATATTACTATTCGTAACACATTGCACGTCGTTCAGATAACCAGTGTGTAGGTGGCAGGCAGCTGTGGTCACATGCATGTTGGAGAATTGAAGGCGCTCTGCATATCATGAAATCATTCCAGGTATGGATCTGGCTGGCACACTCCTTTATAATTTAGAGTACAAACAGGTGATTGTAGAATGGATACACATGCGACATTTGTACAAGGTTGGTGTGGTGCAGATGCGTCGATGCAGGGACGGAGGCACATGACCCGGCCTGAATACGGCAGCTGTCAGGCCGTTTATGGCATAGTGGTGCTGCCTGCAGTGTGGGCATGATACGGGTTGAACTTGAAAAGCAGACTGGCACATGCCGGACACAAGGCTGACACGAGCAGATCGACAGGCAAGCAGACGAGCAGCAGTGCAGGCAGACCTGAAAACAGGCACATGCACAAAAAGCGACCTGCTGACCTGGTTGCAAGTTGTGTGCGGGCAAACAGGGGATCGGGTTAAACCAAATGGGCAGCAAGGCCAAGCAGGTGCGAGGAGACCTCAAGCTGCAGATTCACACACCCCTCTCTGACCGACTTTTGAATCGACTCAAAAATCAAAGGGACCTGCTCACCTGACTGCACGTGTTTTGGCAAAAAGCAAGCAATCGAATCAAACAGACCCCGCAGCCAGGGAGAGCAGGTACGAGGAGACCTCCTGTTGCAGCCAGACGTTCTCCTCTTTGGATAGATGCCACCCAAAGTCAAGCTGCTTGCCGGCCGCTGCTGTGACCCGACAGAAATACGCCGTGTTGAACCGCCTCTGCTGCAAGAGGGTATGCGGTGAGAGGTGTGTGGCGCAGGGGAGGTGATACGAAGGAGGGGGTGATACGAGGGAGAGGGTGATGCGAGGGAGGGGGTGATGCGAGGGAGGGGTTGATGCGAGGGAGGGGGTGATGCGAGGGAGAGGGTGATGCGAGGGAGAGGGTGATGCGAGGGAGGAGGTGATGCGAGGGAGGAGGTGATGCGAGGAGTTTACCAACTTGCAGAGGGAGACTTGCTGGATGGGCGTGGTGCGGATATTGGCGTCAATGGTCCATCCAAACACCACTCAACACCCTTCCGCACCCCTCAGCACCTCTGAACAGACCCTCCCCCCACTCCTTCCAGAGCGCACAGTGTGCTTCAAGGCATTTACCATTTTGCAGAGGGAGACTCGAACGATTGACGCGGTGGAGATGGTGGTGTGGATGGACCCATCGAACACCCCTCAGCACCCCTAAACAACCCTCTCCACCATCCCACTCGTCTACGCAATAACAGTGCGTGGGCAGGCATTTACCATTTTGCAGAGGGAGACGCGAACAATAGACGCGGTGGGAATGGCGGTATGGATGGTCCAGTCAAACAGCTGCCACGTGTGCAGCAGCTGTGAGCCGTCGATTTGAATTGTGCGCACCGTGAACGCTGCACACACGGCCAGCACTGCCATGCTGACGTGGATGGGATGGGAGGTGGAGGTGGGGAGGCGAACTGTGAGGCATCAGATAGGCACGTGAGTGGGAAAAGGAATTGAGCATTCGTGGTACAGGCTCGTTCACATTGAACGCACCACAAATGCTGCACACGCGCTCAGCACGGGGCATTGGCGGAATGGAAGAGGGATGTGTAGAAGAGCGGGGTTCGGAAGGGTGGAGAAGTCGGGGAGAAAGGGTATTGGCACAGGAAAGTGTATGTCTGCATCGTGTACACACACGATGCAGAGCATACGCTCACCACTGCCTGTTCCTCCCCATCCCTCCAGACCCCTCCCAGGGCTCACAGCATGGGGAGACGAGAGCAGAGGAAACAGGCATGAAGGGTGGAAGATATTCCCGAGGTATATGTGCCTATATCCCTCACCACCCCTTACCACCCCTCAACACCGTTTCGAGGGCTCACAGTGTGCAGAGAGCGGAGACAACAGGCGTGAAGGGCGGAAGGGGTGTCGGCTCCCCTGTGGGGTCACACACACACCACAGCGCTCCCAAAATGCAATACCCCTCCGCACCCCTCCTCCCAAAACTCACAGTGCGCAGAGAGCGGAGACAACAGGCATGAAGGGCGGAAGGGGTGTCTGCTCCCCTGTGTCCGCATCAGCATCGAGCATTAGAGGCAGCAGCAGCGGCATCAGGCCGAGGAAAGCGAAGAACTGTGCAGCAATGAGAGATGGGAGATGGGAGGTGTGGGACAGACAGGAGAACGGCGTTTGTGACAGGGGCATGAGAGCGAAAATCTGTGCATGGAGGGGAGAGAGAGAGAGGAGACAGGAGAACGGCGTTGGTAGGTAGGTGCAAGGTACAAGGTGGGCCGTGGTGCAATGATGCTTGTGGGATGAGCAGTACTGTGTGAGAGAAGCAATTTTGAGAATTCTCAAAAGAGGGATCCCATCATTGCATCTTTTCGGTGAACTTTTGAGACTTCACAATAGTCATTGCATCTTCTCGGTGAACTTCCCCCTGGTGATTGAAAAAGGATAGGTGAGCACAAGTGCTTTTCTTTCAGGCACATACATAGCGCACCCAACTCACCCCCATCGCTAGCACCACACCCATAACCCTCACCACACCTATCGCCCATACTACACCCATCGGCCATACCACCCCCATCGGCCATACCATCCCCATGGCCCTCACCACCCCATGGCCCCCATGGGCCGTACCATAAAGCAGAGCGCCGCTTTGGCCGGCGAGAGGGGCGGGATGCGGATGAAAAGGCCGGAGCTGGTCGTCTCCAGTATCTGTGAGGGGGAGGTGGGGGGATTGGCGCAATGGGGATTAGTACAGTGGAAAGTGGGGGACGGGGAAGGGGAGATTAGCCGACAGGAGGGGCGGCAGGCGGATGAAGAGAGCGGAGCTGGTCCTGTCGACTGGCTGGAGGGAGGGGGGAAAGGGGAAAGGCGGAGAGAGGGTAGGGGAGTTGGCGCAAGGGGGAAAAGGGAGAGGCAAGGGAGAAAAGGGAGAGGCAAGGGAGGGGGATTAGTCCAATGGAGGGGCAGCAGGCGGTTGAGTAGTAGGTGAGCTGCGGTTGAGTAGTAGGTGAGTGGGTCCACACCAGCAGCTGCGGGAAGTGGGAAGTGGGCAAGGCGGAAAGCGGTTAGCGGCGGGTTACTATCACTCGCGCAGGCGCACAGCCGGCTGGCTTACTCGGGATTCAGGCGCAGGCGCACAGCGGCTAGCACTTACTAGGGATTGACCTTTCAGGCGCCTCAAACGACAGGCTGGCTTACGACTCGTTGACCCTAAACTGACCCAAACCTGACCACTAACCCAAAAGAGTCCCTGAAGCTACTTTTGGGATAGATCCGGGATATGCTAGCGTCAAACCGATTTTAGGGTCACTTATGGGTCAGTTACTTTTTGGGGATGGAGGGATTGAGAATGGACCGGGAGTTGGTTGGTGGAATGGAATGGAATGGAATGCATTCAAGGACGGCATTCCAACAACCACACCACCCTTGCCCACCCCCTCCCCTCCTCTCTACATTCCCCGTTCCCCCCGGCCCTCCCCTCTTCTCCCCCCCTTCCCCCCGCACCCCTCTCCCCCCCTCCCCCTCAAACCCCCCTAATGAGCGCACCACGCGCGTGCCAGCGGGCATACTATCGCCCCGCGAGCGCGACAACGGCGCCTCCATCTCCCCCCGCGACTGGCGCCGCAACTGACGCCGCGACTGGCGCCGCCTTTGGCGCTGAGAAGTTCGGCGCCGCCGCCGCCGCCGCATGCGGAGGAGCGAGCGCTATGGAAAAAGGGGCGGCGTCCGCCTTCGTATGACTTGCTTCCGCCATGCCACTCGCGACGGGGTGCGGCGGTGGAGCGGGGTTACTTGAGAGGTGCGGCGATGGTGCGGTACGGGGAACGCGACTCGGGTGGCTTATTGAGTAGAATAGGCGGAATGGATGGAGCAGGGCTGTGGCGAACTGAAAAGGAGACTGCAAAGCACGACGGTGTATGGACATGTAAGTAATATGTGTGAATAATGACACGCATGCTAGATTTGGAAAGCTAGTACATTATATATATGACGATGAGAGAAGCGAAGGCAAAAAAACGGATAGTCGTTGGGGAAAGGGTAGGTGAGCAAGTATTGTTGGGGGGATGGTGGGGGGGAAATTCGAGAGGGAGTGGGGCTGAATAGGAAGGAAGCACTTTGACCGACTTGACCCTCGGGAAATGCTCTGCTGAATAAGACATGCCGTGCTCTGTACGCGATATCAAGAGCGCCACTACGGACACACAAGGACCAATACTACAGAAGTTCTCATATATTTCTAAAATAGCTCTACACATCTGCAGTTAGGGAAGACCATAGATGGTCCATCCTGTATCTCAGCAATCAGTAGCACATCACAAATCCCATCCCTCAGCATGCATCACACAGGGGTGTGCGATTCCAGGTCTCGACAACCTTGCTCCTGAGTCAAAAGCCCACTTCCCTATCCTCCGGTCCGAGCCATCATCAGCACGTGAGCAGTGTGACAAAACACTTGTATTACATGCTTCCCCACACACTCCCCGCTCCTGTGCCTGCCTAGCCAACTCCTTCACGCGGCCACCTCCCCATCCTGTCGCCATCAACTCGCGAGCGGTGCAATGACTTCTTAAACACGTGGTCCCTCAGAGGTTTGTTTCAAGGTGCCTCATAAAGCAATTAGTCTCATGCGCCCACTTCCCCATCCTCCAGGTCCTCATCTGCTCGCGAGCAGTGCAATGACTTCTTGGACTTGCTGCTGCGCTGCTTCCTCCTCCCTTTGCTCTTGTGCCTGCCTAGTCAACATAGCAAGTTATAGTAGTCTCATGCGCCCACTTCCCCGTCCTCCAGGTCCTCATCGGCTCGCGAGCGGTGGGACGACTTCTTGGACTTGCTGCTGCGGTGCTTCCTCTCTCGCTCCCTGCTCCTGTGCCCACTGTCCTCTGACTCGCTGTTGCTCTCATGCTCCTGCCACACAGTCACCGAGAGGGGGGACAACGGATGCAGAGCAAAACCGGGACAAACATTGTCAGAAACGACAACAGAGGAAAAGGAAACGGGGGCACACAGATTGGCTTGCAGGAAAACAAGTTTCTGAGTTCACCTGGATACATGTGCACACGTGGAGGTGGATTCAGCCTGGAATAGGCAGGATTGGGAAGGAGGGGAAGTGGTGAAGCCAATGCGTGACACGGAGACAGACAGAGAGCCCTCCTCACCTTGCGGGAGGACCTCCGGTGGTCGCTGCTGCCCTTGCTGCGCTTGGATTTGCGAGATTCTTTCTCATCCTCCTCCTCCTCATCATCATCCTCATCATCCCGATGCCTCCTCCTGTGCTTCCTCTCCTTCTCCTTCTCCCTTTCCTTATCGTCCTTCCCCTTCCCCTTCTTCTTCTCCTCCCTATCTTTCTCCTTCTCCTTCCCCTTCCCCTTCTCGTCCTTCTCATCCTTCTCTCGCTTATCCTTGGATCGACTCTTCTCCTTCTCCTCCTCCCTATCCCTCTTCTCTCGTTTCTTCCCACCCTTCTCCCTCTCTTCCTCATCCTCCTCATCCTCATCCTCACTCTCATCCCTCCTAGACCGCCTCCTGTGCTCCTTCCTCTTCTCCTTTGCCTTCGACCGTTCCAACTCCTTCACTTTTTCGCGCTCCTCCCCTTCCTCATCAGACGCATCACCGCTCTTCCTCGCCTGCTTGCTGCCCCTAGGCCTGTCCTCTCCCTCCTCTAACTCTTCCTCCTCTCCCTCGCTCTCATCCGATTCCCCCCTATCCTTCCTCTTCTTCTCCCCATCTCTCTTCTTCTTGTCATCAGCCCCATCCCTCTTATCCTTCTCATCCCCTTTCGCCTTACCTTCTTTGTTGCTCTCTGCTTCCTTGCCTTTATCCTTCTTCGCCCTCTCCTTGTCCTTGCTCCTCCTATCCTCACTTACCTTCTCCGAGTCACTCTCGCTATCCTCCCCCTTCCTCTCCTTGCCTCTCTCCTTTGCCTTCTCCTTCTCCTTCTCCCGTTTCTCCTTCTCCTTTTCCTTCTCCTTCTCTCTCTCCTTCTCCTTCTCCTTTTCCTTCTCCTTCTTCTCCTCCTTCTCCTTCCGCTCTCTCTCCTTCCTCTTCTCCTTCTCCTCTTTCTCCTTCTCCCTCTCCTCTTTTTCCTTCTTTTCCTTCTCCTTCTTCTCTTCTTCTTTCTTCGCCTGCAAATCCACAGGCACAGGCAGAGGCAGTGGCACAGGCAGGAGGGAAGATGAGGTGGTGACAGGGCAGCATAGAGGAGTCGAGAGTAAATGAGAGAAAAGCGGAAGCGAGAGGAAAGCAAAGTGGAAACAGGGTGGAAAGGGAAGGAAAGAGGCAAAAGGACAGCACGACAGGCAGATGGGGTATCGATATTCTATCCAAGGAGCTTGGCACAACGGCACCTATTGAGTCGCTTGAAAAAAGCATACTTCCGTTAAAGAGCACGCAGTGCACTGCAGTGCAGAGCGGTGCAGTACAGCGGAGCGTAACAGCACAGCAACAAGGAAAGAACATCACCTTCTCTTCCTTCTTCTTCCTCTCCTTCTCCTTCTCTTTCTCCTTCTCCTTCTCCCTCTTCTTCTCCTTATGCAGCAGCCGGGCCACGTGCTCCTCCACCACCTTCCGCCTCTCCGCCTCCTCCGATATCGCCCTGTCACACGCATACAGGGACAAGGACAGAGAGCGGGCGAATGTGAGCAGTGGCACACTAGTGAAAGCAGCCAAGGCACGTGCTCCTCCACCACACTCCACCGCTGTCTCTGGTTGCAAGGGAGCATAAGAGAGACAAATAAAGAGGGGTTTCACACAAAACGCCAATCAGGTGCATTTGAGTCGACTCAAACGGCACTGGGAGACAGAGGCACGCAGGTCTCAAAACGGGCTAGCGGGCGGTGCGATTGTGCTACTACCACGCATTTGACATGTAGTAGTGCAACACACGGCCACAATACACAACCAAGTTCTTGAATGTGAGCAATATATTACTACGAGACACGACCACCTACTTGTATTCCGGGAGTGACTGAACGAGCGGTTTAGCCTCCTCCCACGTGGTGCTCCCTGTCAGCCCCTTGAAGCCCCTCAGTGCGTCCGCTAGGTCCTCTGCCAGCTGCTTCCTGCGCCACAAATTTGCTGTACCACAGCAAATAGCAATCACTTACTTGTATTCAGGCAGCGATTGGACGAGCGGTTTCGCCTCCTCCCACGTGGTGGACCCAGAGAGTCCCTTGACGCCCCTCAGCGCGTCAGCAAGGTCCTCTGCCAGCCGCTTCTTGCGCCGCGCCTCCTTCTCCTCCCTCTCCACTGCTCGCTCCACCAGATCCTCCCACACGATCTGGTTACCACGTGATAGTTACCATGTGGTGATGGTGTCCATGCGTTGGGTTACCACAACATTTGTTCGATATTACAGAGTTTGTTACCAGATGCGCGCGATTTGTTTTTGCCGTGTTTGATTCCCGCAACAGTTGCGTTGAAGGAAAGCCGTGGATGAAGGATTGGCAAAGAGCAAGAATTCATGGTGGCCACGGTGGTATAGAAGATGCAATGAGATGCAATGAGATGCGATGCGATGAGATGGGATGAGATGAGATGAGATGAGATGAGATGAGATGAGATGAGATGAGATGAGATGAGATGAGATGAGATGAGATGAGATGAGATGAGATGGGGTGATGTGATGGTACAATGGAGAGTCAGTAACAGCATTTAATGCCAAAAAAGCACAGTGTGAGTGGCACCAAGAGGGCACACGCACATGTGCACGTGTGCATGCACATGCACATGCGGGCATATAGGCATACATGCACGCACATGCCATGCCAAGCCAAAACGCCCATATCACACGCCCGCACACATGGCAGCCCACATGCATGCACCAGACAGCACAGGATCAAGCCAAGCAGTAGCATGCCGTAGCCCCCGAAGCAGCAGTCCCATGCACCTAGCCGCAGCACACCACACACAACACAAAAAAGGAGGGGAGGGAAGGGGGAAGCAAGATGAGGAGAGAATGAGTGACTGCGTTGGGGTGAGGGGAAGGATTACGACAAGCAACCCTGAGCTCCAAAAAACACCACAGGTACGAGATGCACGCATAGAGGCACACGAAGCATGCTTGCTCTATGATAGAAAGGCTGAACGAAAGATAGAGGGAAAGAAAAAAAAGACGCAATGCTACAGGAACAGGGATGCGAATTTGAGGTATGTGGGTTTGTGAGAATCGAGGGAGCAAAGGGGATTGGAGGTGGGTGAGGGTGGGAGGGAGGAAGGGAAGCAGGAGTAAAGAGCTGTCTACGCGAAAAGGGGGTGTGGGGAAGGGTGGGATGGGAAGGCAGCAGATTATTCTCCCAAGCAAAGACACACCCAGTGCGCCTGCTGCAATAACACGTTAATGCCTCCCACTCAGTCACACCCTTACCTGCTGGTTACCCTAGGAAAGGACTGTCCTCGCTGAAGAGTGTTGGTGTCGACCCGGGTTGCTCAACGTACAGACAAAAGATGCCCACCAGGAGTAATCATTGCAGGTACTTGTGGTGTGGCAACACGCACAGGTCTTACAGGGAATGTGCATATCTCAGGCAGTATTGAGTGGGCCGCCCACTGTGGGCGTGTAAGGGTGTGTGTGGTTGAGGGCCCGTCATGTCCTTGTGACTGTGGCGCAAGGGCAAGGGCCTTGGCACTACAGCAGCAAGGGGCGAGATGATAAATGCTGGCTGCAGGGGTGTTGGAGAGGGTGGAGGATGGAGAAGAGGGAGAGCAGGCGCGGCGGGCCAGGGGGAGGCATCGCACCTTGAGGCTCATATCGGCGACCTTAGGAGTCGACTCATCAGCTTTCGGTGGCAGCGGTGGCGGTGGCGGCAGTTTCACCTCCTCCTTGCCCTCCTCCGCCTGCTCCTCTTGCTTCACCGCGCCCGCGCCCGCCTCCTGCTTCACTGCCTTGTCGCCCTCCTCTTGCTTGACTGCCGTCTTGCTGTCCTCAGCAGCGCCCGCCTCTCCACCCCCCTTGCCCTCCTCCTGAGGCTCCTCCTTCACCTTCGCTGCCTCTCCCTCTCCCTCCTTCACTCCTCCCTCCTCTGGAACCCCATCTTCCTTCTTCACGCCTCCCTCCTCTTTCACTCCATTCATCTCCACATCTCCCGCCTTCCCCTTCTCCTTTGCCTCCTCCTTGACTGCTGTGCCAGCACCAGCACCAGCATCAGCGGCAGCAGCAGGAGGGGGCGGCGGCGGAGGGGGAGGAGCGAACCCCAGAGCAGCTTTGAACGCCTCAAAGGTGGTGGCTGACGTCACCACCACCTGGGGGAGAGTGGGCGGGAGGGGAGGAGAAGGGAAGGAGAAGGGGCGGGGGCAAGGAGGAAGAATGGGGAGGGTGGAGTGGAGGGCACGAGAAATAGGAGGGGTGGGCAGGGAAAGGGCGGAAGCAGCGAGGGGCGGAACACATGGCATGTTTCAGCAGGTTGGGGGCCCACCGTTGGCAGGTGCAATGAAAAGAAGACTGTTGGAGAAGATAGATGGACGATTCAAATGATTTTATTTAACCTAAATAGTGGGACAAATAGATAGAGCGGTGATGTGCATGTGCAGTTTGATTTGAGCGCACCTTCCTTTTCTTGATGAGGTCCTTTATCTTGTCCTTGTCCTCCTTGTCGGAGGACAGGTGGGGTGGAGGCCTTACATGCTCTAGGACAAGGAGACGAAGCCCATGATATGATTACTACAGCGCACCTTCTTCTTCTTGATGAGGTCCTTGATCTTGTCCTTGTCCTCCTTGTACTGCTCCGTGCTCAAAGGACACCACCACCATCATGCATGCATGCAACACACAGGAACCACAGCACAGAACGGCAGGGCAGGGCACACAAGCCCATGCACGCAACAAACAGGAGGAGCGAAAAATGCACACGGCACGCAGGGAGCAGCAGACACAATCACGGCATGGCACACATACAGGAGAAAGAGTTAAACACACACAGCTGGGAGTAGAGGAACCGAAGAAATGAATGCGACAACAGGCGAGGGAGGGAGGGAGGGAGGGAAGGAAGCAGGGGCAACAGCAGCAAGTGGTGAGCGCTGGATGTGGGACATAACTGCCAAAGGAGTGCACAACAGGCGACCTTGGGTGACAGGGGCACAGCAGAAGCAACATTATCCCTCCACATGCTACCTTCCCCAGTTGCTACCCCCCCGGAACCCCTCCCCCCCCCCCCCCCCGCTCACCCCCCAGTGGCCACCTACCCCAATTACCACCTTCCCCCAGCAGCACCCACCTGCTTGTCGAGGTCATCGATCACGTCTTCAAACAGCTCCTTGGGCGTCGACCCGCCCAGGTTGGCTGCCACTGCCACGTATGCCGGCTCGTCCTTCACCTGATGATACACAGAAGCACAGCGGGGAACGAGGAAGGAGGCGCAAGGAACGGGGTAGGAAAGAGACGCAGCATGTGAGAAGCTCAGACCCCCCCAGGTTGCCAGGTATGCAAGCGCGGCCTTCACCTCTTACCTTCCTGCCGGTTGCCCAACCTCCTCTCTGCACCAGGTTCACGTGGTCATGCCAGTGAGTGCGAGCAGTGGGTGTGAGCGCCACCTTCTATTCCTCCATCAGCCGCCTGAAGGCCCACACTGACAAGGTACCAGCCCCCCATGCTGCAGCAGCAGCCACAGTCAAGCGTACCAACCTTACTCACACCAACCCCATGCGTATGAATGAACCCCATGCATGCCAGCGCCACCCCACGCACCACGTTCACATAGTCGCACCATCAAGTGCGCGCAGTGAGGGTGAGAGCCGCCTTGTGCTCGTCCATCAGCCGCCGGAAGGCCGCACTGACAGAGTACAGCAGCCCCCCAAACTGCAGCAGGCACAAGCCTACATACCAACCCCACCCCATTCATGCTTATCCCTGCGCGTATGAACCCCATACATGCCAGTGCCAACACATGGATGGCATACCACGTTGACGTAGTCGCGCCAGCGGGTGCGAGCAGTGAGGGTGAGCGCCGCCTTGTGCTCGTCCATCAGCCTCCTGAAGGCATCGCGGTTCTTGCGCTCCTGCCTCCGCTGTTGCTCCTGGGAAGGGCAAGGGGAGGGAGGGTGGAGAGTGGATTGTGGATGGAAGAGAGTGTGGAAGGAGGGGTAGGGTCAGGGGGCTTACATGGATTGTGGCCGTGACAGATGATACTTCAGAACGGCTTTTCTCAATAACGATTATCTATAGCATTGCAAATGCTGGTGCTCAATAACGGACGAGCTCTGAAATGATGATAATGATCTGTAATGGAGTAGATGCTTTATTGAGCATAGGATGGGCTTGAGTGGCGGACTCACCCTCTTCTGCTGCCTCTCCTCCTCCTCCCTCCTCTCCAGCTCACGAATGAATTCCTGCACCCAGCAGCACCCAACAGCCGGCAGTGAAAAGGAAGGTGGAAAACAGCAATGAATCAGCAGGCAGTAGCAGGTGGGTAGTGACAAGCCAACACAAGGCAGCGAATGGAATGGTGGACAGCGAAAACTGGGAAACAGTGCGATGAAACATACTCGAATTCATTTCTGACATGCCTCAAAAGCATAGCGGTGGGAAAAGAAGAAATAACGGAAGAAGCCAAAGGCAGAAGAGCAGAGCTGGGGCAAGAAAGGAAGCAGCACACACCAGAAAGACATGAGCACCCACCTGGAAGACTTCAAGGCGGTCGATCTTGTCGAGCTTGGCGCAGCTCTCGTGCTCCTCCAGCCGGTCCTGCACCTTGCGGTAGTGCGAGGCGGACTGGGGAGAAGGGGAGATGGGGGCGAGGGGGGGAAGGAAGAGGGTGAGGGACACAAGGAAGAGAGCCACGTCCTGACAGCTTGGCTTGGCGCAGCTCTCATGCTCCTCCAGTCGGTCCTGCACCTTGCGGGTAGGGAAGTGCGTGGCAGACTGCAGAAAGAGGGGGAAGGGAGGGGGGAGGAACGGGGTAATGAAGAGCGTTGAGGTGGTAGCCGGCGATTGCCCCCCTTCAGCTCTCATGCTCTTCCAGACGGTCCTGCACCTCGCGGTAGTGCATGGCGGAGTGGAAGGAGGGGGGAGGAACGGGCAATGATGAGGTGAGGGCTGTGGCGGTTGCTGGCGACTACCACCCTTCACCTCTCATGCTCCTCTCATGCTCCTCCTCTCATGCTCTCATGCTCTGTGGGGTGAGGGAAAACAGAAGGAGAACAACGTCCAAAGTCCTGACAGCATGGCTCGGCGCAGCTCTAAAGCTCCTCCAGTCGGTCCTGCGCCTTGCGAACGTGGAGGGGCAATGAACAGCCACGGAGAGAAGAGCAGTGTTGAGCGCGCAGCCAGAGAGTGGAGCAAGCTAGAGCATGGCACTCACAGTGACATAGCCGCACGTCTCGAGGTAGTGCTTGAACTCCGCCATGTTGCGCTTCCTCTCCTCCCTCACTCGGTCCTTCTCCTGCCACACCGTAGCAGCAGCAAGAGGGGAGGAGCAGAAAGCAAGTCAATGTTCAAAGCGCCTCAGAAATCGAAGCGGCTTTGAGAAAGCAATCAATACGAGTACAAGCACGACAAAAGTCAACGCACGTCGACGTGACCTCTCAGGTACAACCTACGCTTTTGTATCAACGATGTGATTCCTTCAATGTACGCGACCTTCAGTTTGTTTCCACGCCGATTTTGACGTTGATGCTCGTTGTTTCACCATTTGCAGGACATCATTGAATCTACGACGATTCAATGATATCCTACAAATTGTGAAACAACGAACATCAACGTCAGAATAGGCGTGCAAACAAACCGAAGGTTGCGTACATTGAAGGAATCACATCGCCGATACCAGAGCGTAATAGGAATATGAATGGTGGTTGTACCTACGAGGTCAACACAAGTCAATACACCTTCTTGACGAGGTCAACGAGGTACTCGTCAAACAGCTCCTCCCTCTCCCTCTCCGACTCCGCCGCGAGTCAACACAAGTCAACGCGAGCAAACGCGAGTCAACGTGAGTCAACTTGAGTCAATTGGTAAAAATACCTTCTTGACGAGGTCAACGAGGTAGTCGTCGAAGAGCTCCTCCCTCTCCCTCTCCGACTCCACCGCCACGCACCGCAGGTCCTTCTCGAATAGCGGCGCCGCTTTCCTGGAATGGGGACGTAGGGAGGATAGGAGGTTTGTGGGGATGTAGGAGGAGAGCGATGATGGACAAGAAGATGAAGGCAGCCGAGAAAAGAAGATGAGAGAGAGAGGCGTGGCAGGGCAGCACGCATGTGTAGAGCAATTGTGTAAGTGTGGGCCAGGTGAACGAAGTGCCACTGCCAAGCTCACAAAGGACTGACTCACTGCCAACTTAGCATGACTCACTGTCAGCGCATGGAGGAGGAGAGGTCCTTGGACTCCTCCAGCATGGCGATGAAGTCCTCTCAAAGCTAAGCACGACTCAATGCCAGGTCAGCACAACTCACTGCCAGGTCAGCACTCGGGCTCACTGCCAGCGCATGGAGGAGGACAGCTCCTTGGACTCGTCCAGCACGGCGATGAAGTCCTCTCACAGCTAAGCACGACTTAATGCCAGATCAGCACAACTCACTGCCAGCTCAGCATGACTCACTGCCAGCGCATGGAGGAGGAGAGCTCCTTGGACTCGTCCAGCATGGCGATGAAGTCCTCGCGCACCTTCTTCTGCCTCAACCGCTTCTCCTCCGCCTCCTGCTTCTTGCGCTGCGTTATGTACTGCGGAGAAAGGGAGGGGGCAGAGGGACGGGTGGGGACAGGGAAGTGTTGGAACAGGGTGAAGAGGGGAAGCGAGGGATAGAGGGATGGAGCAAAAGAGTGCCTCGGCCGCTTCTCCTTCGCCTCCTGCTTCTTGCGCTGCATTATGTACTGCGGACCAGGGAGGGAAAAGAAAGAGGAGGGGAGGAAGAAGGGAGGGAGAGTGAGAGTGCTTCAGTTGCTTATCCTCAGTCTCCTGCTGCGTGTGCTGCATCAGATACGTGTAAGGAGCAGTGCGAGGAGGACAAAAAGGAAGGGAGCGGCATTAAAAAGGCAAAGACTACCGTGATTCAGCAGATGCAAGCAGAAGTGTGAAAACCAAGAATCCTCGCTTCTAGCCACCACATACCTCGTTGAAGGCCTGCTTGCGCTCGCCCAGCGTCTTGAGTGCGACGTATCGCTTGTTGCTGATAACCTTCCTTATCATCTGCTCCCACGTGCCCTCTGTCAATCTGACATCACCTCATCCGACTGTCATGCCTCGCTCGCTCCCACCGACATATTACGTACCTCGTTGAAGGCCTGCTTCCTCTCCCCCAGCGTCTTGAGCGCGCCGTATCGCTTGTCGTTGATGATCTTCTTCATCGCCTGATCCCACGTGCCCTCTGATGTCACCCCCACCGCCTCCAGCAGCTCCTTGAACGCCGCCTTGGCCTCCTGCTTGGTGGCGTACACAGGCTCGCCCACAGGGGCGGGCGGCGGCTTGGGTTCCGTGACGGGCGTTATGTTGATCTTGCTCACTGCCGGTGCCCCCTTGGCCTGGTTGGGGGGTTGGAAAGGGCGGATAGGTGGGAAAGCGAGCAGGGCGGGCGGAGGCTGGGGCTCCGTGATGTGATGGGCGTTATCTTGATCTTGCTCACTGCCGGTGCTGCACTGGCCTGGTTGAGGGGGTGGGGAATGGGGGTTAGAGAGGAAAGCGAGCAGGTGAGGAAGGGGGGTGACAGTGACAGAGGTGATGGGCGTTATGTTGATCTTGCTCACCGCTGGTGCCGCCTTGGGCTAATCGAACGGGAAGAGAGGAAGGGGAGCGGAGAGAAAGCAGGGATAGAGAGGAACGGGATGGGGGGGGGGGGAGTGCGGGGGAGGGTGAGGGCATTGGCAGAGGTGATGGGCATGAGGTTGTCCTCACTCACCATTGGTGCCGCCTAGACTGATTGGGGTAAACAGAGAGAAAGTGGGGGTACGCTTGTAACACAATCGAGAATCTATAGAAATACAGCACTGATTGGAAAACATCGGAGAGAAGAGGGGGTACAGAGGAAAGGGGACAGGAAGGGGGGGTGACAGGGGTGAGGGGTGTGATGTTGAAGTAGTGGAGGAGAGGCCGGAGGATCGGTCTCAAGAGTGTATGCCTTGTACCTATCGACCTCTACCTAAGAGAATTTAATAGGATGAAGGAGCAAAGGGAAGAGGACAAGAGGTAGAGGAGAGGAGGGGACCTACCTATCTCCCCTCCCTCTCTCTTTTACCTCTTGTCCTTTTCTTTCATCCTGTTGGAATCTCATAGGTGGAAGATCGGTATGTACAAGGCATACACTTTGATCCTCCTCTCCTTTTCTTGTGATATGATGGTAAGACATTAAGAACTATACAAAACTCGATTGTAACCCAACAAAAGGTCTACGCAGTCTAGCCTTGCAGGCTATAAGGGTGAGTGATGTGAATCACAACTTTAGTTCCAACCAACCTTACCACACCATACACCTCTACACCGCACCACACACACCTCTGGTGCAGCTTGTGCGGGTTGTGCCTGCGCCTGTGGTGCGGCCGCAGCAGCAGCTGGGAGAGGCCTGCGTTGCAAGCAACGGAGAGGAGAGGGGAGGGAGGGACAGGAGGTGAGCGGATGGGCCAGTACGGCAGGCAGTGCCATCGGCAGCCACTGAGGGAGCATGTGAGCAAGTGTGCAGCACAGAAGAAGCAGGAAGAAACTGCATAAGAAGAAACATAGGAAGCTTCCACCCAGAAGCTCACAACCTTGGAACCAGGAGCGAAGAGGCCTCTCTCACAGCAGGAAAGGAGAGCATAGGCACATTCACAGCAGCGGCACTTGGCAATGACTGCGCTTGAAGGACTGTGATCCGACCAATCCCAGCAGAACTCACGGGGTGAGGGTAGCAGCAGCAGCAGCAGGCAGGGGAACACCAGCAGGCGGCACAGGGGAAGCACCCAGCGGCCCTGCGCCTGGTACCAACGGCGCCACCCCTGGGAGAGGAGGTGTGTATGTGTAGGCAGCAGGAGGGACGGCCCCTGCGGCTGCCATCCCCAGAGCTGCTTGCCCTGGTGCGGCAGCAGGTGGGGGGACGCCAGGCAAGGGAGGACCACTCGCCATTGCTCCAGGGGCTCCTGGCATGACTGGTGCTACTGGCGCCACAGGTGCTGTAGGGAGAGCAGGGGTGGCAGCGGCAGGAGCAGCAGCAGCGGCGGCGGGAGGAGCTGCTGTGCCTGCCGCTGCTGCTTGCTCGGCAGCAGCCCTCTCCCGCGCGGCCTGCAGGCGGGAAGAGGGAGACACGAGGTTGCAGAGAGTGAGGAGAGGTGTAGACAGACACAAGCAAACAAGAGTTCCGCTGGTGGTGCCACTACAAGCAGAAGCACTGTCGGGTGAGCAGCAACAACAGCAGCAGGAAAAAAGGTCGCTGCTGCTCACGTTGAGATCGCATGCTCATGGGCCACAGCTGCTTGATTGAGGCCAACAACCTAGCTCACTGACTGCTCACCACGCTGACTGCGCTGACTGCGCTGACTGCGCTGACTGCGCTGACTGCGCTGACTGCGCTGACTGCGCTGACTGCGCTGACTGCGCTGACTGCGCTGACTGCGCTGACTGCGCTGACTGCGCTGACTGCGCTGACTGCGCTGACTGCGCTGACTGCGCGGACCATCCCCACTGACTGCTCACCTTGAGGTCAGCGGGGATGGTCCGCGTGCTCTGCTTGGCTCTTAGAACAGTTGACACAAATAACCTACTGCGTTACCTGCTAACCTGTGAGCTCGCCTGCTCACCAGTGAGGGTGTCCCAAGGAACCCCTCACCTTGAGGTCGGCAGGGATGGTCCACGTGCTCTGCTTGGTGAGCTTGTTGAAGAAGTACTTGCGCCCCTCCGCTGTCGTGAACTCCTTCCACACCGTTGTCGCGTCCGCGCGCTGCAAGATGACAGGGGGCAGGCGAGATTGCAAGGGCGCGACGCAGGGAGGTGAAGGAAAATGGGAATAAGCTTGTTGAAGAAGTACTTGCGCCCCTCCGCTGTCGTGAACTCCTTCCACACCGTTGTCGCGTCCGCGCGCTGCAGAGGGGGTAAGCAGGCAAGGCGTAAGTACAGGAAGGGGGCAAGTTGGATTGGAGGATGTTAAACTGGTGTTTGCGCCCCTCGGTCATTGTGAGCTCCTTCCACACTGTAGTGGCGTCCGCTCCACTGTTGTTCCCCCTCCCGCCCCCACGCATCCCCCCACCCTACCCCCCCCCAGCACCCTTTACCAACCCACCCACCTCGCTGGGCGTCATGAGGTCGCTGGGCTTCTCCCAGCTGGACTGCTGCGTGCGCTTGTTGAAGAAGTACTTGCGCCCCTGCGGCGTTAATGTACCTAGCACCCCACTCAGCTGGCTCACCTCGCTGGGAGTCATGAGATCAGTGGGTTTCTCCCAGCTCGACTGCTGCGTGCGCTTGTTGAAGAAGTACTTGCGCCCCTGCGGCGTCAATGTACCTAGCACCCCACTCAGCTGGCTCACCTCGCTGGGAGTCATGAGATCAGTGGGTTTCTCCCAGCTCGACTGCTGCGTGCGCTTGTTGAAGAAGTACTTGCGCCCCTGCGGCGTTAATGTACCTAGCACCCCACTCAGCTGGCTCACCTCGCTGGGAGTCATGAGATCAGTGGGTTTCTCCCAGCTCGACTGCTGCGTGCGCTTGTTGAAGAAGTACTTGCGCCCCTGCGGCGTCAATGTACCTAGCACCCCACTCAGCTGGCTCACCTCGCTGGGAGTCATGAGATCAGTGGGTTTCTCCCAGCTCGACTGCTGCGTGCGCTTGTTGAAGAAGTACTTGCGCCCCTGCGGCGTTAATGTACCTAGCACCCCACTCAGCTGGCTCACCTCGCTGGGAGTCATGAGATCAGTGGGTTTCTCCCAGCTCGACTGCTGCGTGCGCTTGTTGAAGAAGTACTTGCGCCCCTGCGGGGTCGTGTACTCCTGCCACTCCGACGCCGCCCCTCCCGCCGTACCGCTGGCGCCGCTGGTGGTGCTGCCCGCCGGGGCGGCAGTTGTGCCTCCCCCAGGTGCGGCCTGGGCGGCCGAGGGGGCAGGAGTTGCTGTGGCGGGAGGTGGCATCTGGGGAAGGGGCACCTGCAGGAAAGGAGCAGTGGGGGGAGAGCAGGCGAGGGGAATGATGGGCTGCTGCTTTAGAGACGAGAAAATGCTTAAGAGGCTTATAAGGTCAAAACAGGGAGGAGCTTGGGAAAGTCGTGGCAGGAGAAGAGAGGAGAAATCAACGCAATCAGTCAGCCACTCACTCACCCCTCCAGCGGTGGTAGCAGCAGGGGCTGCCCCCGCAGGTGCGCCTGCCCCAGGCGCGCCCTGCGCTGCTGCCTGCGCCCCTCCCGCGCCAGGTCCCCCCTGTGCTCCCCCTGACGCAGGCGCGCCAGGCACCTGCCAGTGCGGGTGCTGCTGGGGCGGGTGCTGCTGGGGGGGGTAGGATCCGGGCGCGGGCATGTGACCGGGCATGGGAGGATAGGACGGGTACGGCTGCTGCTGCTGATGCTGCTGCTGCGGCGGCTGCTGCTGCTGCTGCTGCTGCTGCTGGCCGGGGTATTGGGGGGGCTGGCCGGGGGCGCCGGGGTACTGCGGGTGCGGTTGGTGCTGCCCCGGGTACTGTGGGGGGTGCCCTTGCGCGCCGTAGGGGGGAAGGTGGCCGGGCGGAGCGTTGGGGGGAAGCGGGGGGAAGGGGCGCGGCGGAGGGGCGCCTGGGTACGGCGGGCGGTACTGCTGCTGGGGAGAGGCGTAGTGCCCCTGTGGAAGGCGGAGGATGCAAGGGGAGAGGAGGAAGGTAGGATTGAAGAGAAGGAACAGAGCGATGACAAGTGAGAAGGCAAGTTAATCAGCCAGGAAAGCAAAGGCAAGCGCGGAAGCCGGGCTGCGGGCAGGAGTGAGAGACGAGGGAGCTAGGGAAAGAGGGAAGGATTAAGCTAGCGACGGAGGTGTGACGTTACGGAACGAGATTTAGAGAGTAAAGGGGGAAGGGAGTGAAGGAGCGGAAGGGCGCAAGTGAGGGGGTGGGGGGCAGCGCGAGCAGAGGGTGTGCGCACCTGAGGGGGGGCGCCAGGGGGAAGCGGAGGACCGCCAGGGCGAGCGCCATAGGGAGCGCCGGGGGGGGCAGGTCCGCCTGGCCCTGCCGCCCCTGCTGCTGCTGTTCCCGGCGCTCCCGGCGCGCCCGGCGCTCCTGGCGCTCCCGGCGCTCCCGGTGCGCCCGGTGCTCCCGGCGCGCCTGGCGCTCCCGGCGGCCCTTGCCCCTGCGCCTGCTGCTGTCCCGGAGGGGCTTGCCCTGGCGGCTGCTGGGGCGGAGGCTGAGTGCGCCCTGGCGCCGGCGGCAGGTGCGGCGCTCCCACGCCTGGTGCTCCCGGCGGTGCTCCCGGCGCTCCCGGCGCTCCCGGAGCTCCTGGTGCGCCTGGCGCTCCTGGCGGCTGGTACTGCAATGAGGGGCGAGCGGGTGTTGGGTGATGGGAATAAGGACAGTGTGAGAGCAAGAAGGAGGGGGTACGAAAGGAGGTAGGGGTTGGAACGGGGGGACAGGGGAGAGGGCGATGGGAGAGGAGGAAGTCGGGAGGTGCGGAGAAATGATTACCTGTCCGCGGCCTGCAGGCCCGCTTAACAAACCGCCGCCGGGGGACGGCTGCGGGGGACCGACTACGGGAGGCGCGCCGATAGGCCCACCGCGACCCGCCGCGTGCATGGGCGGCGCTCCGCGACCCATCTGGGGCGAGGGTGGGGCACGGGAGCCGAGGGTTGGAGTTCGGGGGAAGTGAGACGCGGGAGGGGTGCAACGCAGTCACGCAAAATGCAGATGCGGAGGAGGATGCGCCGAAGGTTGCGGATGCGGCGGAGAATAGGCGCACAGATAGCTGATTTCAAACGGGGACGTCAAACGTCAAACGCGTAAGACCAAACGTCAGTCAGAAGTCAAACGAGACGATTGAAGAAGTAAGTGTTGCAAAGTGATTCATTGCATCTTCGGCGGAACTGGAAGCGTCGTGACTCGGTGCAAGCGTTGTGCATGATTGTTGTGGTGCGCGTGCTGTGCACGACTGCTGCGATGCGCGTGGTTCGAGTGCGAGATCCTCACTACGGCGGGTGATTTGGAGTCGTCGCGAGCGATCGAAGGAGCAGGCGGGGACGGCGATGGAGCGTTGCCGCCCCCGGCAGGCGCGGCGGCGGCTGGAGCTGCTCCGGGAGCCGCGCCGGCGGCCGGCGTTCCAACGGGCGGCATAGACTTGCCGCCTGGGGCTTATCGGGGAATAGGAGAAGATAGCGGTAATATCGGATGTGAGTAGGGTGCGACAAGGGGAGTGCGGGGATCGAAACGGCGTGCGGTAAATGAAGCGGAGTGTGGGGACGAGCGAAGATGGAAGCATAGGAGAGGGATGCATGCCGACTTTTTTTTTTTCGAAACCTACATTTCATACGTGTCGACTGACACATCGTATAAGAGCAGAGATCTGTAACTAAGAGAAGAAATGCATCTCAAATCGATCAGGATTAGGCGGAGAAACAAATGGCTCGAGGTGAAGGGCGCACCCGTCATCCAAGCAGGAAGAGTCATTCCGCGGCCGCGCCCAGATCCCGGTACAGGAGGGACGCCCGCCATGGCGATTGTCGTGAAACTATTGCTCGTAAGGACGTGATGATACGGAAATACGTTCTAAAACTAAGGGAAACCCTAGGAACCTCTTGACAGGCTTTCGGCTCGATCGAGAGAAATGAAGCGGAGGAGCTAGACCTGGTGAAGTTCTGGAGTCCCGCATACGCTTTATGTGTGTGCTGTCTCGCACTGGCCTAACGAGGCTCAATGCATATTGGAGTGACTGCCTTCTAGATATGCAAGAAATCTCAAGGTGCTGCTTTTCATTCTTCCATGATGTCGTCATATCATAGGTCTGGAATGTAACATACAAGTTTCCTTCTCAATATATTACTTATGATATGATACCAGGAGAAAATACAGATTTTTTTTTTACCTTCCATCAGCACACAATCATCTTCTGGAAAACTAATGCGCTCTTGGAAATTTCAGCTACATAACAGAAAGGATGTTTGCTCGTACATGCTTTTTATCAGCACAGCTCTTTGACGAGTTTCTTTCGATTTTTGGCGCCAGCTTTTGGCTGACAGTCATCCGATCTGGCGTCCTCCCCAGCCGAGCGCCGTCAACTTCCATGCTTCATGATCCACATCGGAGCCACCACAGAGAAAGCATCCAGCCAATCCCCAAGACGACAATCCCTAGAGCACGGCCCTCCCGAGATTGTCAGACCCAGGCTTGCAGGTGAATCCAACGCAGCCATCTCTTCCTCCAAGACCCACTCCACTTGGATACAACACTTGATCTTTGAATCTGGTGCTACTTCCTGTCACGCTCCTCCTCCGGTGCCCTCCGCTTCTCTTGCGCCAACGCTGTGATACAGCTGCAGCGTGCCTGAGCCACTTCACCGTCGCGTGTAACCACAAGAAGGTCCCTTGTCTCTCATCGCCGCGTTAAAACAACGCGCTCGCGTATTTGTCTTGCCGCTTGTTCATTGCCCAACGTAACGAACGACAGATCTCCGACAATGCGGAATCGCGCTGGCCCAGGCGGCGAGCCGCAGGTGTCGTCCAATGACGACGCGGAAGAGATGACGCTGTCCGGCGAGCCCGTTGCCGGCCGTTACAAGAAAGGCGGGGAGCTGAGCGACGCGGAGTTTTTGGCGGTGCACGGGAAGACGAGAGCGCAGATCGCGGAGGAGAAGCGGTTCGTGGAGTCACAGGGGATGGAGATTAACTACCTCGTGCCGCCGCGGTCGACGAAGCTGTTGGACGTGATCGCAGTGTTCATCGCGCACATGCTGCCGTTCACGCTGGCTCCTTTCATCCTCACAATAATAGTCGTGTACATCTCGTACATGTAAGGGATTGTCGTGCACGCAGCGTCCATGTCGGCGGAGCGTGATTGTTGTCGCCGTTGAGGTTGCTGCATTGACCAGTAGGGAGCTCAACATGCGTTTCTGACTGGCGTACGCTCATTGATGTGCTCGCCGCTTCTAGTGAACGTGCGATTGCGTGTCATTCATGGTTAACGATTCATGACGCATGATCTAAGATGCATGATCCGTGACCTATGATCCATGACCCATTATCCATGACCCATGATCCATGACCCATTATCCATGACCCATGATCCATGACCCATGACCCATGATCCGTGACCCATGACCCATGATCCGTGACCCATGATCCATAGCGCATATCAGTTATCAGTCATTACCCATTTCCAACACCCTGACCCTTGCCCCCGCTGTGGCCATAACTTAAGGCTTCTGTGTCGCTTGTCTTCCTGTGACCATGTGCGCCATCAGGCTGCTGGGGTGGCTGGGACCGCTCATCTCCTTCCTCGTGCTCTTCTACCTCACCGTCTGTCGGATGCACTACGACCCCAAAACGCGCCGCATGTACCAGGTGCGTCCACAACTGTAACGGGATGTCTGCTCCCCGCTCCCTGCTCCGGTTCCTTACCTCTATTGCTCTCCGACCCCTCCTCCCCCATCTCCGCTCGTTCTTACCCTTATGCCCCCCAGGAGCTGTACCTAAAGATGGCGCGGTACATGGTATCAGTGCGCATGGTGACGCCCAGGGACCCCATCCCGGACGGGCCGTACATCTTCGCGTTCCACCCGCACGGCCGCATGTTCTACTCCACCTCGCTCATCATCCAGTCCCACGACCTCTGGCGCAAACACTTCTGCCCCAAAGGTGCGCTCTGGGCTGCCCTGTGCGGTGTTTTGAGCTGCTGTGCAGTGTGTGCGCTCTTGTTCTGTGCAGTGCTGTCCTGTGCAGTGTGGTCTCGTCTCGTGTTGTGCTTTTTGCTGCGAGCGTTCTATCCCGAATGCTGCATATGCGCCTCAACTCCTCACCCCTCACCCCGTCCCTTGCACGCCCCTCTCCCCACATGCGCTCCTCACCTGCTCCCACCTCCCCCAGGTGATTTCTTCGGGTCAGCAGCAGGGGCGTTCTTTGTGGTGCCCATTGTGCGCAACATCCTGAACAACCTGGGGGTCGTGTCTGTGGACAAACCTGAAATCGTGCGCACGCTCCGCAACAAGAACCACGTGAGTGAGACGAGTTGTGAGGGGCCCAAGAATGAGATGACTGTTGAGGCACCTCATGGGTGGACTTTGGAGTGCTTGCAAGCAATTTTCTGAACAACCTGGGGCTCGTGTCCGTGGACAAGCAAGCCACATTCGCGCTCAGGAACAAGGACCATGTGACAAGTATGGGACTGCTCGCAAGGAAGCATACATATGAGAAAGACGCGAAAGACTCACAAATATGTGCTGTGCGGTGCTGTGCTGTGCTGTGCTGCGCTGCGCTGTGCTGTGCTGTGCTGTGCTGTGCTGCGCTGCGCTGTGCTGTGCTGTGCTGCGCTGTGCTGTGCTGTGCTGTGCTGTGCTGTGCTTGACAGGTAACGATAACGATTGGCGGGGTGAAGGAGATCTGTCTGGGCACCAACCCTGACTACGACACGCTCTACCTCATGAAACGGTGAGGCAAAGGTGTGGTGAGAGGTGGGTTGCGGTGGGAGGGGGCGGGTATGGCCTGGCAGGATTTTGGACGTCTGTGGAATGCAGCATCCTCATTCCCTGTCCAAAACTGATTGCAACAAGGTCTACCTCGTGAAGTGATGAGACAGGGGTGGTGGCGAGGAGGCAGGCGTGTAGTGGCAAGCAAGGAAGAAGAGGTTTTTTTTAAGAGGTGGGGGAAGTGATTCTTGGAAGGGGATTCTAGCATGGCCTGTGGCCAAGCTAACGGGGGGCGGTGTTGGGTGGGGAGGGATCACACATGCATGTTCGGCACGTGCTGTGGCTTGACAGGCTTGGCATGCGCCATGGCTAGACAGGCTTGGCATGCGCCATGGCTAGTCAGGCTTGTCATGCGCCATGGCTAGTCAGGCTTGTCATGCGCCATGGCTAGTCAGGCTCGGCATGCGCCATGGCTAGTCAGGCTCGGCATGCGCCATGGCTAGTCAGGCTCGGCATGCGCCATGGCTAGTCAGGCCCAGCATGCGCCATGGCTAGTCAGGCCCAGCATGCGCCATGGCTAGTCAGGCCCAGCATGCGCTGTGGCTAGTCATGTGATGAGCCGGAGGAAGCCGGGCCTTCCACGTCATTCCTCTCTCGCGGGGCTCATCGTTGCTCCCTCATGGCCTTCTTTCCTCATCTCTTGCTCGTTCTCACTTTCTTTTCAATGCAGGAAGGGGTTCATCAAGGTGGCGATGGATGAGAAGGCGGGCATCGTGCCCATCTACAACTTCAATGAAAACCAGGTGCGCCATGTGTGCTGTGCTATACCATGCTGTGATAAGATGTGGGTGATGCCGCATGCTGTATTATCTGCCATCTACAACCTCGATGAGAACCAGGTGCACATGGTATTGTATGAGTGATGCCATATGCTTTGTACAAAGAATAGTGTGCCACGTGCCATGTGCCATGTGCAATGTACCATGGGCCATGTCCAATATGCCATGTGCAATGTGCCATGTCCAATATGCCATGTGCAATGTGCCATGTCCAATATGCCATGTGCAATGTGCCATGTCCAATTTGCCATGTGCAATGTGCCATGTCCAATATGCCATGTGCAATGTGCCATGTCCACTATGCCATGTGCAATGTGCCATGTACAATATGCCATGTGCAATGTGCCATGTACAATATGCTGTATGCTATGTGCCATGTTCTTATGCCACACACTCTCCTGCGCACTCTTTCTCTCCTTCAACCCCTCCCCATCCCACCCCTTCAACCGTTCCCCACTCCAAACCCCCTCTCCCCAATGTTCCCCCCACAGATCTTCCGCCCAGAGCCGCACTGGTTCCTGGCGTTCTGGGAGTGGGTCAACAACTACATAGGCCTGGGCGTGCCGGGCATGAGGGGTTACCTGCAGATGCCCATGCCCTTCCGCAAGTGAGTTTGGTGCTGTGCGGTGCTATGCGGTATTGCTGTACTGTGCGGTGCTCTGCTGTGCTGTGCGGTCCAGTGCTATTTTTGTGCTGGTTCCTGGCGTTCTGGGAGTGGGTGAAGAAGTATGTGTGCCTGGCCGTGCCAGGCATGAGGGGATACCTGTACTACCATGCCCTTCCGCAAGTGAGTGTTGTTGCATGCGATGCAGTGTGGGTGCCATGCTGTGCTGTGCAGTGTTGTATGGCTGAAGGCAGGCCTGAGAGGCTACCCGCGTGCTAGATGTAAGCTTTCAAACAACGTCCTCATCTCTTTCCGTAGCCAGCTCAAAGCATTCATTCCCTGCACTGTCTGCCCTACTCTGTTCTCTGCCCTGCTCTGCTCTGCCCTGCTCTGCCCTGCCCTGCCCTGCCTGCATGGCCACAACCACAGGGAGCTACTGTTTGTGGTGGGCAAGCCGCTGTTTGCAAAGGAGGGGGAGACGGTGGACGAGTTCCATGCGCGCTATGTGGAGGCACTCAAGCAGCTGTTTGACACCTACGTCACCATCTCACCACACCCCTCTCACAAACTCGTCATCACATGACCGCGTTTCGGAACACCCATCACTCACACACCCGTGCTGCTGGGTCTGCTGTTGTCACTTGGCTCAACTGCTGACATAACGGTTTTTGGTCTTGTGTGTTGTGGTATTGCATCGTGTTTTAGGCAGATTCACTGTAGTCTAGGGTTTAGAGAAGTTAACGTTACAGGAGAGAAAGCTTACGGCACACATGTATTGTCTTCACATAGCGATGGTTGCAGTGTCATCCAGTCATTGCTGCTGCCAGTTGGAGGAGTTTCACAGAAAGCTCTGCGCTCAGAGTTGTACCGTACTATGAGAGTAGCTAAGCTGGCCAAGCTGGCCACTGCATTGCCCATGTCAAGCTCCCTTGAAACACGTTTTTGCTTGGAAATAATTACAAATCATGCACTGCTGCCTAATCAATATTACAGGAAGCAGGATCTAGAAGCAGTGCAATCTGACAGGGCACAGCAGCAGGCACCAGGATTGCCCTACTGCAGAGCAGACACAGCAGCACCTGGTAGCAGCTTCAGATGGGATGGTACGGTAGGTATAGTTATTGCTGAGGACAGCACGGCTAGTGAATGCTGGGGCATCAGGGTTTGGGGCGCCAGAAGAAGCCGAAGAGGCAGTGGGTGAGATAGAGGGGGAAGAGAGTGGCGAGGGCGAGTTCACACACCATGAACCCTGCTGTCATGCCCGTGAAGTCCCCATTCATCGTCTCCTCACCGTACCTGGAGTTTGATAAGGGGAGAGGGGATGGAGATAAGGGGAATGCTGAGGAGCCTCAGCGGAAGTGGAGTGATGCAAGGGGGTACTGTAGTATCTCCTCCTGAGGAAGGAAGGGTACTGCAGTAGTGTACCTCACCTCATCAGCGCGTGCTGCATTCACTGCATTGAATGCCCCAATGAAAGCAAGTGAGGCCGTGGAGTTTGAAGAGTTGCACCGCAAGGGGGGTAATGCAGTAGGCACCTCACCCCATGAGCAGGTACTGCAGCAGCGCGGCGAATGCCCCTGATGAGCCATGTGAGTCCGTAGGGGCGGCTGAAGCAACAAGGAAGGGAGTTACAGAGTAAACAGCACAAGGGGGTACTGCAGGAAGCACCTCACCTCATCAGCGGGTACTGCAGCAGTGCGGCAAATGCCCCAATGAAGCGAGTGAGCCTCAGGAACTGAAGTGGAGAGATGAAATAGGGTACCGTAGCATTTCCTCCTGAGGGATGAAGGGTACTGCAGTAGTGTCCCTCCTCTCATCATTGTCTACTGCAGTGAATGCCCCTCTGAACCTTGTGAGGCGTCGAGGCGGCCGAAGACGAAGAGGTGCGCTAAAGAGTTACAGCGCAAGGGGGCAATGCGTTGAGCACCTCACCTCATGAGAGGGTACTGCAGCAGCACGGCGAATGCTCCGATGAACCGCGTGAGGCCATAGAGGCGGCCAAAGTTGCGGAAGCCAAAGAGGGAAGCGATGAGCGCCGCCATGGTGCTGTAGATGAACGCCCTCGCCACGCTGTAGGCCGCGAAGCTCAAGAGCTGGGATTGAAGGGACATGGGGTTGGGCGGACAGGTGGGGCGAGAGAGAGGGAAGCCAAAGAGCGAGGCGATGAGTTCCGCCATGGTGCTGCACAAACAGGCTCTGGCCACGCTGTAAGATGTTAAGCTCAAGAGCTGAAGGGCGTGTGGGCGAGAAGGGCGGGGATGGGGTAGGGATGGGGAAGGGGGAGCAAGCAGAGAATGGGTGAGAGGTGTTACTGAGTGGGCCAGTGCATGTGGATCCCATGGCGATGGCATCACTCCATGAGATAAGGAGCATGGTGGCACGGTGACATGATGGCATTGAATCAAAGCATCATGCTATGGCAGTATGGCTTGAGAGTGAACACTACTGGGCAGCATACCATGGCGTCTAGTGGAAGGCAGTGGGCGAGGAGAAGCAGCAGGGAGGAGAGGAGCGAGAGGGCGGCAGTGATGGCGAAGGCGGGTGGCAGGCCGAGGGAGTCGATGCTCCAGCCCGCCAGAGGCACGCTCAGACAGCCGCCCAACGGGAGAATGCAGTTGAAGGCGTCGATGTAGTGCTGCTGCACGGCTGCTGTGGCGGATGGCGGGATGATGGCCTTGGCGTGCTGCAATGGATGGGAGAGGAGAGAAAGACAGGGGAGGCAGGCGGGCAGCTGAAGGCATTGATGGCAGCTCTGCTGCACAGCTGCTACAGATGATTGCAGGAGACTTCTGTGGTGGACAGCAACGAAAAGTTTTGAGACATCTCAAAACTTGACAGCAGCGATGTACACATTGGAGCGCAGCACAAAGAAGCTTTCATGAAATCTCAAAAGGCGACTAGAGAGTGTCCCCGTGTCTTGTGTCACTCAACACAGCGAAGCTGATCTGGTCGTTGACGACAGCAATGAACACGCCGGGGTGGAGATCGCAGCATGAGTTGACGAGCGCCGCCTAAGCCCTACTCGCCCACCAAGCACGTTACAGCGCCCCTCTCTCACTGACCACGGCGAAGCTAATTTGGTCATTGACGGCAGCAATGTAGACGTTGGAGCGCAGCACATAGAAGGCCGCCACCCCCACGTGCACCCAGAACAGCTGTGACCTGCGGATGTTGCAGTGGCGTACCGATGAAGGCAAAGAAACACAGAGGAAGGCTGACATGAGCACGTGAGAGCAGAACCGGGCTGCCCTGTGACTTGTTGCAGTGGGGGTGGGGCGAGTTGCAGATCACAGGGAAGGCGATGGGAGGGGAGGAACACCTAAGCTGGGTGGTGGGTGAGTGTCGGGTGAGTTCGAACGCCGATGGGCGATAGATGGCAGACGAGAGGGGCACCTGAGCTGGGTGGCACCTGAGCTGGGTGGCACCTGAGCTGGGTGGCACCTGAGCTGGGAGGGGCACCTGAGCTGGGTGGCACCTGAGCTGGGAGGGGCACCTGAGCTGGGTGGCGATGTCGGCATTGTAGATGGCGGGAGGGGGCGGCAGGCACGGGGTGCTCCTACTCGTGCCGTGGAGCCACACGATCGGCAGACTGGGCGACACCGGGATGCTGCTGCCCCGCTCTGTGACACCTGGCAGCGCCACGTGGCATGCTGACGTGGTCAGTGCGTCGGCAGCAGCAGCAGCAGCAGCAGCAGCTGCTGCTGCGCAGCACCGGCATTCCCAGCAGCAGCCTTATCACTGCCAGCAGCCCCCATGAGGCGCAGCAGGTATAGCCGCTCCAACTCCCCACTGCGCCTCGGCCCCCTCCCTCCCTCTCTCGCCCCTCCACTCCGACCCCCCTCTTTGTCCCTTCTCCCCATTGCTGTCAACCGTGGCCCCATCCCCTCTCTCGTCCCTCTCATTCCCTCCTCCTCCGCATGTGCGTCGTCATGTCCCCCGCCCCTCACAGCGGGCCTCCTTTGCCCCCTCTCCCCCTCCTCCTCGTCTGACTGGCTCTGCAGTGGTTGCTCCTTGCTTGCCTGCCTGTCGCTTGAATGCTCCTCGCTTGCTGATTGCAGGAGAGGCGCGGTGAGCAAAGAGCGTTCGGAATGGGGAGATGTGGAGGAGGGGGGGGCGGAGGAGGATGCAGGAGTGGCGGGCGGTTCTGAAACGGGTGAGGCACCAAAGGGACTGCAGGGACGAGGGAAGGGTCGGGACGGGGGAGGAAAAGGGGAGAGCGAGGGACAGAGAGATGGGAAAGGGCGAGATTGCGATGTGGATGGATGGTAGGGACTGAGCATGGGGATAGGAACCTCAGATGTGAGCTCACAGGGCGAGTTTGACAGCAAAAGGCAGCGAGGGGGAAGAGGAAGAGCAGAGCGAAGGACACACACAGCAGCTACCCTCCCTCAAACCCGCCTCGCACACACAACCACACTACCCACGCTTCAAACTCGACTCATCGCACACATCGGGGAAAGTGGCGGCGGCGATGGCGGTGATGGCAAGCGGCACGGCAAGGTAGGCGAGGCAGACAGCCGAGAGGGCGAGGTGAAGGCGGGAGACAGCGAGGGCGAAGAGGAAGAGCACGGCTGCTGAGGCGTCAAATGCACCGCTCTGTGCCGCAATGACTGCTGCTGCTGATGATGGGAGGAGCTCCGAGAAATTGATCTGGCGGGAAGGAGGGGAAGGGAGGATGGAGAGGGTGTAGGGATGGGGAAAAAACGAGGGTGGTCGGAGAGTGGTGGGCATGATGAGTGGTTGGCATGATGAGTGGTTGGCATGATGAGTGGTGCTGAAGTTGGGAGAGAAGGCTGCGTGTGAACTGGGCAGGTGGTAGGGGGACCATTCGCTCTAGAAATTCAAGATGCTAGGAAACAGGTAAGCAGAAAGGAGATGCGTAGGGCAGGCACAGCAGCACAGTGCATGGAACTGGCCGCACCATGGGCGTGATGATGAAGGGTCCTCCGAGCGCGAGGAGAAAGAAAGCCGCAAAGAAACACACCCCGGCAACTCCCATCCCCTTCTTCGCCCCTCTCCTACCCCCTGCCATCCATCCCAACCCCTCTGTCATCCCTTTCAACCCCTCTGCCTCCCCCTTTGCACCCTCGCCTCCCGCAGCCATGTCATCCCCATCCCATGCCATGCCCGGTGAGTGCCCCTCCATATGGCGGCCTGTGATTGGCTGGGAACGATTTTCTGACTGCTCGAAGCGAGAGGGGCAATAGTGCAGCGGCCACGGCGGAGGGAGAGGGCGGAGCAGGAGGGGGGGAAGGGTGTGGTGCGATTCATAGGCAGGGAAGGCGGGAGGCATAGGGAGCAGGGAAGCGGAGGGGGAGGAGACATGCAGGGCAGGGGGAAGGGCGGGGGAGGGCGGGAGGGAGGAGGCGGAACCGAGGGCGAGGGCGAGGAGGCCCGCGGAGAAGACGAGCGAGCCGGTGATGGCTGTGGTGCGCGGGCCGTAGGCGTCGAGGAATGCGCCCACTGGCAGCACACACGCGCTGTTGGTCACCATGCCTGGTGGCCGGGGGACAGGGGTGCAGAAATTAGCGCATATACCTGAAAAGCGCATGATAGAAATTGAGTGCATGAGCGTGGGGGCTCATTGCACAACACCCACACGCCAATGCAGGGGACATCATGGGGCGCGTGGAGGCTCAACAGCAAGAGTACACACACACGTGACCCACCACCCTTCGTTACAGTCACGCACTGAGCGTGTAGGCGGCGTTGAGCAGGTTCATCTGGGCGGCGCACGGAACAGCCTCCCCCGCCCCGCACGCATCGCTGAACGCGCCCACTTCGAGCACCAGCACGGGCAGGATGCCGGAATACCCGTAGATGATGCCTGGCGGGGGCCGGGGAAGGGGGGAAAGGACGGGGGAAAGCGGTGAATTGGGGAAGCGGTCACGCAGAGGAGCGGAAGGCGGGATTCAAGCAATGTAGTCCTTCCCGAGAAATGGATATTCCGCAATTTTTTTGCGCCAGTGACGGCGTCATCTGTACCGGCGGTGAGCAGCGCGGCGAGCACGGAGACGGAGACGAGCAGCACCCGCCTCCCGCGCGACAGCTGCGCCTCTTCTTCCGCTCGCCCTGCGCGCGACGCCATTTCCGCGCGCGGATCCGCTTCTGATTACACACCGTCACGCGCGCTCCTGGTTATCAACCCACAGCGTGCGAATGCGAAAACGAGAATGGCGGGTAACAAGACCGCCTGCCGAACATATCGCGATTGTCTAAAGGCGTGGACTTTGGTGCCAGAAGTCTTTCGACGGCGACATAGCTACGGGAATCGTGAAAACGAAGATGAACGGAGTGGGTAGGCAGGCAGGATTCGGTTTTGAGATTCGAATGGTGCAGACGGAAAGGAAGCGAAGGGGTGGCGGCAGTCGCGATGATCGGACGGCTGGGCATGAAAGTGCTGCAAGGGGAGGGTGCTGATGAGCAGCGTGGCATGGTGTGTGATCGCCACTTGGCGGACCCTATGGTGTCTGGAATCGGAATCCCAAGGGTGCTCCGTGACTCGCGATTGATTGGCTCTTTTCACGAAAAGGACAGATTCAGCTTTCAATAATGTGATGAGCTTATTTAGCATACATATCTACACTGATAACGGAGGGCACAACAAAACACCCTTTCCTCTACTTCCCATGACCTACCCTTGGCAGTGGTCTCCAAAAATAACCATACATAGCTACTGAGAGGTAATAAGGAAACGTGGCTGTTAGTATCAGTTCTATATAGCGAGGAACAGACCATTCACCAAAAGGAATTGTGCGCCCATGGATGATTCACAAGCACTGCACATTGGCAAAAAAATGAAACCAGTTCGTGAAAAGTTAGCAAGATACTGCAACAGTCTTTCTGACCTTTCCCGAAACAATACCCTCAAAATTACTACTTACCTCATTAGAGGATATTGTAATAATGTAAGGAATGCGCCTCCTAGCCGGTTGATCCCATAGAGCCGGCCAAAGTTGCGGAAGCCAAAGAGAGTGCCAACGTATGCTGCCATGGTGCTGTAGATGAAGGCCCTGGCGATGGCAAAGGCAAGAAACGCCACCAGCTGCAGCACAGGCCGAAGGGGAGAAATGGAGGGTGAATGGAGAAATGGAGGGTGCTATGCGGTGGGGATAGGAGTCGGGCAACAATCTAGACCACGCAGTACAGCACAATGCCCCACCTGCATGGGAAGCGGCACCCAACTGGCCATCATCTGAACGGCAGAGCAGAGCGCGCAGAGCAGCGTGGTGAGAGCGAAGCTGAAGGGCAGCCCTGGTCGCTCCATGCTCCACCCCGCCAGCGGCACGGCAAACACTCCGCCCGCTGCGAGCACGATGTTGAAAATGTCTATGTAGCGCGTGATTTGGGCGGCTGCATCAGATGGGAGGTCGGTGGTGACGGTTGAGGGAGGGATGGTGAGGAGAGTCGTCTGGTGGGCGTGGAGGTGGGAGAGGGCATGTGGTACATGGAAACAAGGAAACAAGGAAGATGGGGTGCTGCAGATTGTGACGTGAGAGTTACAAGATGGCACACGGCAGACCGAACAATACACATGACAAATGTCACATGACAAATGTCACATGTCACATGTCACATGGCTCGTAGCATACAAGGAACACGGTGGAACGAATGGGAGTATTGGCAACATCACTGAAAGAAGTTGGAGCACAGCACAAGTAAAGACATGACTTTACAGGACAGCACATGCTGTGTACCAACCATGGATGCTGGATTCATTGATGCGTGGATTCACAGAATAGAGAGTAGAAGAAAGCACCTAGTAGATCACGGACATGGCACGCACCACGGTGTAGCGAATGTGGGCGTTGACAGCAGCAATGAAGAAGTTGGAGCGCAGCACAAGGTATGCCGACACTGCCCCGTGCACCCAGTACAGGGGCGACCTGGCGCCGTGCAGGGGGCGAGCCGAGGAGGACGGGTGGATTATTGATTTGCACGGGGAGCTTTTAATGCAGACAGGAGAGGAAGGCGTGAAGAAGACAAACTTTTTGCAGCAGCAGGGAGGGGTCATGGGACTATCCGTGCGCAGGGCACACCTGAGTTGGAGTTTGAGCGGGGAGTTGAAGATGTCAGGTGGAGGTGGAGGTGCAATACCTTCCGTTGCTCCTTCCTCTCTCGCTGCCCTTGCACCTGCCGTTCCTCTTGCTCCTTCTGCTGCTGCCTGTGCCAGGCGCAGAGAGTACAGCCTCCATAGCTCGCCCTTCTCCCACTGACTCCCTGCCTCCACGCCCTTTCCCCGCTCTCCATCCATCTCTCCCTCTTTCCCATTCTCCCCTCCGTTTTCCCCATCATCGTCACTCGAGCCACTACTATACACCAGAGCTATCACGCTAGCCTTCCTCTCCCTCTCCCCACTGCCTATTCTCTCTTCTCCACCACTACTGCTGATGCTGCTGCTGCTGCTGCTGCTGCTACTGTAACACTCCTCTATTGCTTCATCATCAGCTATACCATCACCTGTCACTTCTATCCCCCTTCCCTCCTCCTCCACTAGACGTCCCACCAATACCACTTCCCCTTCCTCCTCCCCGTACTCTTTTTTCCCCTCCACCCCTATCTCCGCCCCGTTCCCTCCCCCTTCCCCCCTGATACGCACTCCCGCTGCTGCAACGTCCCCTCCGCCCCCATCCGCGCGCATTTCCCCGCTCCCACCGCTTTCAGCAGCCTTCGCAGCGCCAAAGGGGGAGTTGGGAAGGCAGCAGCAGCGAGGGCGGCGAGAGCGAGGGGCACGAGGCAGTAGGCGAGGGAGAGGGCGGAGAGGGGGAGGTGCAGGCGCGTGACGGCGAGGCCAATCAGAAAGAGAATGAGCGAGGAGGCTTCGAATGCGCCTGCTTGTGCGCTGATGATGGCGGCTGACAGGCGTGGGACGAGCACACAGAAGCTGATCTGGCGAGGGGGGAGAGGGGGAGGGGAGGAGGGGCGGGGAGGGAAAGTGGGGGGGGGGGGAGCGAAGGGATGAAAAAGGGGAAGGATGGATGGCGGAGAGGCATGGAATGAGGATGCAGAGACTGTTCTGGAGGTGGGGAAGAGTTAGGATGGCGGAAAGCGCGAGCGAGGGAAAGAGCGGGCGAGGAAAGAGCGGGCGAGGGAAAGAGCGGGCGAGGGAAAGAGCGGGCGAGGGAAAGAGCGGGCGAGGGAAAGCGCGGGCGAGGGAAAGCGCGGCGAGGGAAAGCGCGGGCGAGGAAAGCGCGGGCGAGGGAAGCGCGGGCGAGGGAAAGCGCGGGCGAGGGAAAGCGCGGGCGAGGGAAAGCGCGGGCGAGGGAAAGCGCGGGCGAGGGAAAGCGCGGGCGAGGGAAAGCGCGGGCGAGGGAAAGCGCGGGCGAGGGAAAGCGCGGGCGAGGGAAAGCGCGGGCGAGGGAAAGCGCGGGCGAGGGAAAGCGCGGGCGAGGGAAAGCGCGGGCGAGGGAAAGCGCGGCGAGGAAAGCGGGGCGAGGGAAAGCGCGGGCGAGGGAAAGCGCGGGCGAGGGAAAGCGCGGGCGAGGGAAAGCGCGGGCGAGGAAAGCGCGGGCGAGGGAAAGCGCGGGCGGGGAAAGCGCGGGCGAGGAAAGCGCGGGCGAGGGAAAGCGCGGGCGAGGGAAAGCGCGGGCGAGGGAAAGCGCGGGCGAGGGAAAGCGCGGGCGAGGGAAAGCGCGGGCGAGGGAAAGCGCGGGCGAGGGAAAGCGCGGGCGAGGGAAAGCGCGGGCGAGGAAAGCGCGGGCGAGGGAAAGCGCGGCGAGGGAAAGCGCGGGCGAGGGAAAGCGCGGGCGAGGGAAAGCGCGGGCGAGGGAAAGCGCGGGCGAGGGAAAGCGCGGGCGAGGGAAAGCGCGGGCGAGGAAAGCGCGGGCGAGGGAAAGCGCGGGCGAGGGAAAGCGCGGGCGAGGGAAAGCGCGGGCGAGGGGAAAGCGCGGGCGAGGAAAGCGCGGGCGAGGGAAAGCGGGGCGAGGGAAAGCGCGGGCGAGGGAAAGCGCGGGCGAGGGAAAGCGCGGGCGAGGGAAAGCGCGGGCGAGGGAAAGCGCGGGCGAGGGAAGCGCGGGCGAGGGAAAGCGCGGCGAGGGAAAGCGCGGGGGCGAGGGAAAGCGCGGGCGAGGGAAAGCGCGGGCGAGGGAAAGCGCGGGCGAGGGAAAGCGCGGCGAGGGAAAGCGCGGGCGAGGGAAAGCGCGGGCGAGGGACGCGGGCGAGGGAAAGCGCGGGCGAGGAAAGCGCGGGCGAGGAAAGCGCGGGCGAGGGAAAGCGCGGGCGAGGGAAAGCGCGGGCGAGGGAAAGCGCGGGCGAGGGAAAGCGCGGGCGAGGGGAAAGCGCGGGCGGGGGAAAGCGCGGGCGGGGAAAGCGCGGGCGGGGGAAAGCGCGGGCGGGGGAAAGCGCGGGCGGGGGAAAGCGCGGGCGGGGGAAAGCGCGGGCGGGGGAAAGCGCGGGCGGGGGAAAGCGCGGGCGGGGGAAAGCGCGGGCGGGGGAAAGCGCGGGCGGGGGAAAGCGCGGGCGGGGGAAAGCGCGGGCGGGGGAAGCGCGGGCGGGGGAAAGCGCGGGCGGGGGAAAGCGCGGGCGGGGGAAAGCGCGGGCGGGGAAAGCGCGGGCGGGGGAAAGCGCGGGCGGGGGAAAGCGCGGGCGGGGGAAAGCGCG